CCATAGTAATATATATATATATATATATATATATATACCAGATTCTTGAACATACCGCGGTGTGATTCCATACAACATCGGTGAGTGACAAGAGCCCATAATCCTTCTCAATTGTGGTGAGAATATCTGTCACCTCCTTCTCTCCCTTAGCGCCCTCAGAGAAGAGATCGGGGTTCAACGCCAATTGGTCCGCCACGGAATAGGACGACTTTGACTGTCCCAGGTGCTGTGTATTGACGCATAAATATAGGGTTTCATGTAAGTATATACAGATGTATAGCAAGATATTTACAGGTTCTTTTGCGTGCAAAATCAATTAGCTTTAGTTGCATGGGCTTGCACGATCGATCAGATGTGGTCCTATAGACATGACTCGCGACAGCTGCTGAGAGGGCCAAACAAACTGATCTGTAGTGTCACTAGCTGGGTCTCCACAAATATGCGGGGAAACACTGTATATTGCTCTTCGCTAGATTATACATGCGTGCACTTATCAAGGCAATGTATATGCAGTCAGCTAGATCCAACTTGGTGTGCACGTGGGTAATCGCACCTGAAAATAGATCAATCTTGTCCAGCCTGCATCAAGGACGGCACCAGGATGGGAAGTAGGCGTTCAAGCAGTATACTTCAACGTAAAATTATACTATTCAATTTTCATATTGGTTTCGGCTTAAGTGCTTAAGAGTACTGACACCAACACGCACATGACACATTCGTGTTCATACATTGAGATACTACTGCGCAAAACAGCCAGCTATCAAGTGCAGGCGGACTATGAACCACTTCTCAGACGCGCATGCGAGTGCGTTTACAGCTGAGTGAACGAGCAAGTGATTTACATGCACAGACACTCAACATCTGTTCGGCATATAAGGGTATGAACCACACCAAACAAATCAGAATGGTGAAGACTTGCTCACAGTAGGAGCGTACATATACTTACCTGCAAAGGAGTGAAGTGGATGAAGTTAAATCCGCTCTCGGATGATGCCTTCAGTCGATTCTCCCACTCAGAAACATGTCCCAGACATTTCGTGATGTATGTTTGGGCGGCAACAGAGTCCATTCTCAGCGGAGTATTATTAACTGTTTCATATTAATAGGTCCAATTTACTGCTTTAGACTTCCTAGGATCAGGGGATACTATTATAACATACTAGCTTTTAAAATTTGAAAGAAGCGCTCATGTGACAATTCTCACAGACCATGTACTAACAGATCCGTAAAGAGTCTGCGTTCATATATATA